GCGGGGCGCCCGGCCTGACCGCCGCCTGTCGCTCCGCCCGCAGGTCTCCGGGCGCAGCCCTCGCCCCGCCGCCGCCTGCCCCGGCCCGGAGCGCGGTGGAGGAGGCCGCCGAGGAGCCGGGGGCCCGCGCCCCGCGCCCCCCAGACATGGTGGGCCACCTGCATCTGCAGGGCATGGAGGACGGCCCCAAGGAGCAGGGCCGGGAGGGCTTGCTGGACAGCCCCGACTCCGGGCTGCCCCCCAGCCCCAGCCCCAGCCCGCCCTTCTACTCGCTGGCGCCTGGCATCCTGGACGCGCGCGCGGGGGGCGCCGGCGCCTCCTCGGAGCCCCTGGGACCCAGCGAGGCCAGAGCGGTAAGGACGCGTCCCTGCACGGAAACGGGGGGCCGGGCGGTGGGTGGGCGAGGGAGGCTGTGCCCGCCGCGCCCCCAGACCCCGCAGGGCAGAAGCCGGGACTGGCTTCCTCCTCTCCCACCCCCACAGCCATGGATGTGGCCCAGCGACAGCCACGCTCCTCAGGTGGGGACTAGGGTGTGTAGGTGGGGGTGGTCCAGCCTGACCCCGGGATCTGCAGACCTTTCCCTCGCAGTGGGCCTCTCTCCGGAGGGACGTTTCTTATTGTCAGCAGTAAAGGGGGCCTAGCCTGGCAGGGATAAAGGACAGTGTCCGAAATTCCCAAAGAAGTTGTCTGCTCCCTACGTGGGCTTGAGCCCAGAGGTCCGGGCATGTTGCAGACATCTGTGCCCAGGTCCCTTTGCTGTTCCTGACCGGGTTCCCTGTTTACTGCCCTGGAGCTGCCAACGTGAAAGCCTTTTTCTTTCTTTCTTTTTTTAAAACCAAACCCAGACAGGAGCCCTTGCTTCCCAGGGTATTAAGGGATGTTGACGTGGAGCGGCGGCGGGCGGGGGAGGCTGGAACCCCAGGTCAGGAAACTCAGGAGTTTTGTCTCCTGCCAGACTTAGCGGAGCACAGGGGCGGACTGGACCCGGGGCGGGACGCAGCTCGGCGCCTGGACGGAGGCTGGCGGGCAGCGGGGCAGAGCGGGCGCCTTCCTGACTTGAGGAAATGACAAGCCGAAATGAGTGGCGGTTGCTAGCAATGCCAGTGGCGCTTCCCCATTCCTGCCCGCGCCCTGCCTGCCCTCTGCACGCCTTGACATCTTTCCTGCCAGGGGGTGTGTGCGCGAGCGCTGGCTCCACTCCACTTTCCTGGGGCCCCAGGGGTGCCTCTTGGCCCCTCTCAGTGCAAAACACGCCTCCCCCCCGAAAATCCTCCCCCTCCCCGCAGCAGAGGGGAACGGTTCCCCTGCCTCGAGCCTAATGACACGAATTTCACTTGTGCCCCCCTCATTTCTTAGTCCAGCGGGTCCCCAACTTGGCTGCCCATTGGAATCACTTGTGGAATCGTAAAGATACCCATGGCTCGACCCTGACCGCCTCATCGAATTGATACAGGGTTCACCTTGGGCACCAGGATGTTTCAGATCTCCCGGGGTGATTCTGACGTGCAGCAGAGTTTGGGGAGCACCGTCTTAGACCAAATCATACCGTGAATCTGAACGTCAGTCTCTTTTGGGGCTCGGGGAGCTGGGAGAGGCACTCAGGACTTCCACGAGTGGACGGAGGTGACCAAGGCTGTTGGCAGTGAACCTGATCTCGCCGTCCGAATGGGCCAGCCTTGCTGCAGGGGTGCCTGGGACTTGGCGCAGTTGCTTATTTGGGCTGCACAGGTTGGGAATAAGTCCCTGTGGCGTCTTGCACGGTGGGGCTCAGGGAAAAGGGACAGGGAACCGGCCTTCACTTTGATTCCTTCCCTGACCCAGAAGCCTCCTTAAAGAGGCTCTTCTGGATGTTTGCTCTGCCGTCCAGGCCAGCCAGCGGCCGCCACGGGAACAGCACGCCTGGAGTACTTGTCTTGGCTGTTCTATTTGACTTTATTTTTCCCCTTCCTGCTAACAGATGCCAGGTATGGAACTGTGCTGCCCTGGCTTTTAGCTTGGCTTAAAAGCAAAGCCTGGGGCTGTTTCCCCAGGGAGTGATAACCTGGCATTTAGATAGCCCTTAACTAGCCCCAAGCCTTTTATTTGTATCAACTTGTTAATTTTCACAATATTCCTATGAAGTATATGCTTTTTTTTTTTTTTTTTTTTTGAGACAGAGTCTCATTCTGTTGCCCGGGTTAGAGTGCCGTGGCGTCAGGCTAGCTCACAGCAACCTCAAACTCCTGGGCTCGAGCGATCCTCCTGCCTCAGCCTCCCGAGTAGCTGGGACTACAGGCATGCGCCACCATGCCCGGCTAATTTTTTCTGTATATATTTTAAGTTGTCCAGCTAATTCTTTCTATTTTTTTTTTTGGTAGAGATGGGGCCTCGCTCCTGCTCAGGCTGGTCTCAAACTCCTGAGCTCAAACGATTCTCCCGCCTCGGCCTCCTAGAGTGCTGGGATTACAGGCGTGAGCCACCGCGCCCAGCCTACACTCTTGCTATCCCTGTTTTCCAGAGGAGGGAAGTTGAGGCACAAAGAGGTTTAGCGACTTGCCCAAAGTTGCCCAGCCAGTAAGTGGTTGGTTGTGCTGGGCTAGAACCTGGGGAATGTGGCCCCAGAATCTTCCCTTAAACTTTATGTTGTCCTGTATTTCACTGTGTAGCTAATTAACTACCTGTGGTTTTTTTTTCCTGCAATTGAAAAACAAAATGCCTGTGTACCTACAGGGTGAGAGGTGCTGCTTTTAATAAAAAGAGAGGAAGTGGTTGCCAAAGGCAACCTCTTCTCAGCTTTGGGGCCTGCCACTGCGGCCACGCCCACCTGCCCCATGACCCAGCACGTGGGGCGCCCACCTCCGCCTCCTGTTCACTTGTGCTAAACTTTGCCAACCTGCTGTTTAACAGCCCCCAGCTCGTCCGTCAGTGGCTCCCTGAGACAGCCCTTTCCGGGCGCAGATGTAGGCCGCCTACACGCTGCCGACCTGTGTGTCTCGGGAGAAAGAGCCAGAGCCGTCCGTTGCGTCTTGGGCTGGTGGTTTCAAATGCCCAGGGAAGGGGCTGGGGGCCATGCGGGTCTGGGTCTCAGCCTGCACTGCACAGGGAGGGTATCTTTGTCCTGACGCCCTGTGGCTGGCACTGCCCTGCCGATCAGAGTAGGTGGCACGTGCCTCTGCTAGGGGGGTGGGCTCCAGTCCTGTCCCCAAACCCTGACCACTGAGGTCCTCACCACCTTGTCACCCTCTTCATTGCGCTGGACGCGCATGTTAAATCTGCTCATGCTTCGCGTCACCAAACAGCCCCCCCACTTTGTTCTGATAAGCTGGACTTGGCTTCTGGACGGTGCCCGTGGATGCAGCAGTCTGGGCAGGGGCTGGCTGCGAGATTGCACCCCAAGACGTGAGAGGCGTCAGAGACCAGCTGCCCGACCCCACTTTGGGTTTTTCTTGCTGGAGCACAGGTGGGAACATGCCTGGTGGCTCCCAAACGAAATGAAGATACGGGAGTCAGTCACTGGTCCCACCGGTATTTATTGAGCAACTACTGTGTGCTGCACTCTGTTGAGGGCTGTGGGGGACACAGCGGTGAACGAGGCGTTCAAGGCCCCTGCCTTTGTGGAACGGGCGTTCCAGGGGGAGAGGCACAGTCACCAGCTTAAATATGGGTTTAAATACGTGATTGAGGCAGTATCAGGTGATTGGTGAGTGTCCTTAAGAGAAAAGGATGGGTAACAGGTGGCGCTACTGTAGACAGGGTGGGCAGGGACGTGATGGTTAATAGAGACCTGAAAACATCAGGGAGTGAACTTCATGGTTCTAGGGCTGAAGTGCGTCTCGGTCCAAGAGAATAGCAAGTGCAGAGGTCCTGGGGCAGGAATCAAGTGGGTGTGCTCGAGGAGCCCCGGGGAGGCCAGGGCAGCTGGGGGCGGGAGGTGGGGACGCTGCCAGAGGCCAGGTCAGGGACTTCCTGGCTAAGCTGAGGCTAGAAGTTAAAATTCCCTTTTCTCTTTTAAAATGTACTTGTGCCTGTTTTATTTTTATTTTAGAAAAGGCCTCCCGAGCTCCCATGCCCCCTAAATTAGAAACCCACATGAGAGACTTGACTGAGCAGGGTGCCCGTAAGGGACGCGGAAAGTGGCCTGTCACATCTGTGCGGGGCCTGTGTCCGGGAGGCGGGGCCTGCCCCAGCAGGAGCCCAGGACAGCGGAGCAGGCTGCCCACCGGGTGGGGCGGGGCGGAGCGGGGTGGCAGTTGTCTGTCGGCTGCATTTGTCCCACCAATGTTTAAAGCCAGGCTGGTGAGGATACAGCGTGAGCAAGACAGACGCTGTCTCTGCCACCTTTGGGCTCCCCGGGCCCGACCGTCCTTGCAGATAGAGTGACCACCCAGTGCCCCCCTCCTCCTGCCCTGCCCTGCGGAGCTGCGGGCGTGTAGGGGTGGGCACCGAGGAGGCAGCAGGGTCGCATCTCCCCGCGTTGGTACGGGCAGGCCGGGGACCTGGGCCTGTCCCCGCTTACTGCCCTCGGAGCCCACCGGTGGCATTGGTATCTCGGGTTGTGTTCTCTGGGTTCTGGGGCGTGTAAGTGAACAGCCCCCTGCGGCAGGGGAAGGCGCCGTGGAGTGAGGGGCAGTGGCAGGGAGGGACTGTTGCCACCGCTCGGATGCAGAGAGGGACGGCCTGAGCTCTGTCACCCTCAGGGCCCTGTCCCCAGTCCGGTCTCCCTGGTGTGCGTCACTCTGGAGGACCTGCCTGGGGACCAGGGCTCGACCCGCGTCCCGGGAGGAGCCCGCCTGGGTCGGGCTCTACGCGGAGTCAGTGGTGGCGCGTGGGGTGTCTTGGCCCATCCTGGCACACTTCCCAGGGTGGGGGTCTGGTTCTTTGAGCCCACCCATGCTCACAGCCACCTCTTCGGACCTTGGCTGTCACCCTTGGGACTCCCGGATTGTCTCATTTCTGCCTTTGTGGCTGTGCAGGTGAAAGTGAGTGTGACAGGGGAGTGAAGGAAGCTGGGAGGTCGTGCCCGGGCTTGGGAAGGATGGGTGGACGGACAGATGGACAGATGGCTAGATGGATGGCTGGAGAGATGGACAGATTCATAGACGGGTGGACAGAGGAATGGACGGACAGGCCGAGGAAACAGGGACCAGCCCCCGTGGCTCCTGGCAGGCTCAGAGGGGTCTGAGCACACCCCGGTGGAAGAGGGCCAGGGTGTCAGGCCGAGGTGGGTGGAGCCTGTTTGCAGAGGGGAGAGGCTGCGAGCAGGAGGGGCGGGAAAGCCGGAAGGGCCAGGCCCTCCTTTCAGCCGCCTCCGCTCTGCCGGGCGAAGTGGCCTCCAGTAGGGGTTCCGGGAAGTCTCCCGCAGCCCGGGTCTCTG